GGTTAGACTGTAAGTGTAGCGTGTTATCCTGTAAGTGTAGCGTGTTATGCTGTAAGTGTAGCGGGTTATCCTGTAAGTGTAGCGGGTTAGACTGTAAGTGTAGCGTGTTATGCTGTAAGTGTAGCGTGTTATGCTGTAAGTATAGCGGGTTATCCTGTAAGTATAGAGGGTTAGATTGTAAGTGTAGCGTGTTATCCTGTAAGTGTAGCGTGTTATCCTGTAAGTGTAGCGTGATATCCTGTAAGTGTAGCGTGTTATCCTGTAAGTGTAGCGGGTTAGACTGTAAGTGTAGCGGGTTAGACTGTAAGTGTAGCGTGTTATCCTGTAAGTTATAGCGGGTTATCCTGTAAGTGTAGCGGGTTATCCTGTAAGTGTAGCGGGTTAGACTGTAAGTGTAACGGGTTAGACTGTAAGTGTAGCGTGTTATGCTGTAAGTGTAGCGTGTTATGCTGTAAGTGTAGCGGGTTAGAATATAAGTGTAGCGTGTTATGCTGTAAGTGTAGCGTGTTATGCTGTAAGTGTAGCGGATTATCCTGTAAGTGTAGCGGGTTAGACTGTAAGTGTAGCGTGTTATGCTGTAAGTGTAGCGGGTTATCCTGTAAGTGTAGCAGGTTATCCTGTAAGTATAACGGGTTATGTTGTAAGTGTAGCGGGTTATCCTACAAGCGTAGCGTGTTATGCTGTAATTGTAGCGGGTTATCCTGTAAGTATAGCGGGTTATGCTGTAAGTGTAGCGGGTTATCCTGCAAGCGTAGCGTGTTATGCTATAAGTGTATAGTGATAGAATGAAAGTGTAGCGAGATAGACTGATGACAAACCAAGCCACAAACATATATCTTGCATCCAAAATTCAGAGCAAAACATGCCTTCTATTGATCCAAAAGTATCACATAACTCTCGATCATACAAACACATAACAAACACATACCAAATTATGCTAAAAACATGTCTTACATTGATTCAAAAGTATGCCACTTACACAAAACTATAACACACAAAAGTCATGCATTTTTACAATATATCTAGTCTGCAACTAGTCTGCAATAGGTTGTCTACATGTTCTACGGTTGTGACCATACTGTTGAAATCTACTACATTTTAACTCTTTATGGGGATTCAATCCTGAAGGAACGCGCTTTGTTCTTGGTCTTCCACGAAGAATTGATGTTGTCGGCGGCCGAATCACCATATTTTCATCATCTACATGTGGCTTGTCATCGTCAGGAATTGGGTATATAGGAAAGGAGTAGCATTTGCGGTATGTTTCCACACTAAAGTAGTGAGAAATATATGAGTAAAGTATGTCGTTATTTTGTCGAATTGCCGTAGCCGCATGTTTGCAAGGTAGCCCAACAACTTGCCATTCACGACAAGTGCATGTACGCTCATTCAAATCTACTTCAACGGTAGGGAAATCATAGACCTCATACCTTCCCGTAGTAGAAGGAATAGCAAAAAGACAACGTGATTGCTCATTGATTTGAATGAGGTGCTCTTCCACAGTAGGAACAAATGTTGTGGTCCACTTGTGGGATGCCTCCCGCCTTTCGAAACTCACCATCATCATTTTCTTACGAATATTATCAAGTGTTTGGGTAATTGGCAAATAACGAGCTTCTTTGATCCAAGCATTGAATGACTCCGCTAGGTTTGATGTCAACCATCCATATCTACATGCATGTCAATAAATGGTAAGTAGAGATGTACATATAACTAAATGATTTGCATTTAAAATTGTAAGTAAACTTTCATATTAACCTCTTCCCAGGAAAATAGCTATTAGCCCAATTTTCTGGACTCATCCGCCAATTCATTATAGGCGATCTCAGATTTGTTCCGTAGCTCATTGCAATCATTGTTATAGGAACGAGTAGTGTATGCATAAGCAGCCCTCTTCATAATTTGCACACATTCATCTCGTAAAGGTGATACAATGCCTTATTTTGACAAGTTATTCTTAAAATTAGCCTGTAGATGACGGATACAATACGAGTGATGCGACCATGGAAAG